AGTGCAAATAGCTACTGTTTCTATTTACACTGTTAAAATAGCAAGGTTTTCTGCTATTTATACTACTTATTGCAAATAGTTGTAATTATATGCACCTTAGTATTGCAGTACATTGTAAAACAGTGCACAATAATAACACATTGAGTGAAAATTATAATTTTAATTCAAATCATTGAATGGATGCCACCTTATTTGGGACAATAAAGCCCTCCCTACACCTGCCATAACCCTGCCGGTTACTTTATTTTCAACTTTTTGATTATTTCCTTAATTTTTATTGAAAATAAATGCCTTTCCGATGTGATATGAAATTTGAAAAGGGAGAAAAAAAGTTCGGCAAAAGGCAGGTTCGAACTCGGGTTGATCACGTCAAAAAGCATGTGCCTTGCCAGCTACGCCACTCGAATGATTTTTGATAAGCGATTTTTGTACTAGCCCAATCACCCATTGGTGGGCGGAGTTAGTGTAAATAGCCTCTGCCAACAAGGCAGGCTATTTGCACTTAGTGTAAATAGACACTCCGTTATTGTTAATGTAGTATATTATAATAATAATTGTGATTATTTTGTGACAAATTCTAAGTATCAAACACCAGCGTCTACCAGTTAAGACTTTTACGTTGGGAAATAGTAATAGTAACAGTAAAGACAAAATTGTATTCATACAGTGTACAGCAATTTCATGTATTTTAATAACAAGTCTTGCGATATAAAATTTGATTTATGTATATAAGTTTGTTCGTTTGTTGTTTTGTTTCTTTGTATATCTAAATGTTCCAGCAGCTCCTGCCTCTACAAGATCTCCTTCAACTAAGTCTCAAACAACAGCTCCAAGTGAGTATTTTTATTTATGGAAAACTGTGTAAACATGAAAATGGAAATGGAAAATGAAAATTCAGTTTATTATTAATCTGGTATGTTGTACTGATTTAATTTGGATTCAGCTTTGATGCCATCTCAGGTTTACTTTATTCAGAAAACTGCACAGCTGCTCCCAGAATCCAGGGGTGCGTTTCCTGATAACGTTATCTCTTAGCGCTTCATGAAGACTGTAAATGTATACCTTAACTAAAGGTATACCTTTTGTAGGTGTGTATACCTTAGAAGGTTACTTAAAGGGGAGGTCTAAAGCTATTTCATGCATTCAAAATTATTTACACTGTTAAAAGAGTTGGATTCTCATGCTAAACATGGCCAAAGTTTAAAAAAAAATTGTTGAATGTACGACGGAGTATTTATGTGGCAAATACACTCCTTCAGGGTTTGTATAAGTTTCCAAAAGTTTTTTTTTTTTTTAGTATGGCCCTGTATAATGTCATAAACGGCACAATTCCTTGTATGGGCACTTCACCTGGAAGGGCACAAGCACACATCAACCAGAGCGAGAGCAAGAGCATGCCCATCAATGTGCTTCAATCGGGTTGCGGAAGTCGTTGGCAGTGCTGCACAGATTTTGCTCGAGAAGGATTTGTCATTTTGTTTTTAGACCATTAAATGAACAAATGTCACCAAAGAAATTAACTTTTTCATTGTGAGGGAAAGATAACCTTATTCGGCTTCCCAAAGAACCCAGCGTTAAGGGAACAGTGGATACAGTTTGTTCCTCAGGGGCAGCAACATAGTTTGTTTGTTTCCGGTATTTTGGTAAAGAATGTTTTATAAACAAATTAAATAAAATATGTCAAAGTTTTTGTTCCTGTTTTATTTATATCAATGTCACAGCTTGCAGATGATTGCTTCGCATCCTTGTGACTCTTTATCTCTGCTCACGGCATGCCTCCAGGAGCTTTAGTGTTTCCAGAGAAGCATAAAACTTATTTTTCTTTTTATAAATATAAAAAAAACGAAAGACTCTTTGAAGATATGAAGGATATAATACCACTCAATATTGCAACCCGATCTCATGAAAGTGCGTATAAATAGTACGCCAAATAAAACCGAAAACTCGTGGTATTGATACGCAAAAATGGACTTTGGCGTGTATATGCTACGCGATGGGTAGGTTTAGGGTTGTGGGGTAGATGCATATCATATGTACGCGAAAACTGCGTATCATATGCACGGCAACAAATTTCGTATTATATGCACGCGAAAACTGCGTATTATATGCACGCCAAATACATGCGTATCACATGCACGCCAAAGTCCATTTTTGTGTATCAATACCACGAGTTTTCGTTTTTATTTGGCGTACTATTTATATGCATTTTCATGAGACCGGGCTCCAATATTGACATGAGATTGGCAGAAACTGTGTGTTATGTCCCCTTTAATGTATACCTTTTTATATGTGACGTTACCAGGTGCTGTCCATATTGGTTGATATCGATGGTAGAGCCCTACGTGGGACTGCTTTCTTAATCCCGCTCCCGCCACTCCCAGCCGCTCTCGTGATTTTTGAGTCCATGCCCGATCCTGCAAACATTCTAATATTGTATATACTTTTCACGCATCAAGGAGCAGCTATCAATATGCGGGGTATGGAAAGCACTTTTGAAAAGAGCGCTCAATGTTCATTTTCACTTTTGATTTTGTGATCAGCATACTCTGTGTAAAGGGAGTACATCTTACAAGATAAGATATTTGTCAGTGAGCTCAGGATTTGTTGAGCAGCAAATCCTCCAGCATGGTTTAGTCAGTCATCTCTCCTTACTGTCGACCTGTGATCAGTCAAATCTCATTCCTGCAGCTTGTGTTGGATGCAGGGTTGTCAAGTCTGCCTTTTTCCCATGGAAATTGGCATCTTTTAAACTGTTGCCGTCGGTTGATTTTTTCCCGTGAGTTAAAGGTTTGAAATATTGCATAAATTACATTTGACTGAAAATCTAATATTGAAATATTTTGCATTCCGCTTATGATAAAAATGTGCTAAATGTTAAGTTGTATAAAGAAAGGGTCACCGGTAGGCGGCCTTAGCTTTGTTTATGGTCATTGTGCAAAACGTGACTGTAAAATATGTGTTTTAGGTATGGAAATGACAGATTTTGATTTTGACATTTGGAATATAGTCATTGCACTACTTTGGGCTGTTTTTGGCTCTGCCATTGGTCAGTTTCGTGCTAGTTTTGTCATGCAGACTTGTCATGTTTAATAATATAATAACATTTATTATCATATTCTCATGTTCCCCTAACACAGAGTCTAACACTTCCACTGAGTCTAACACTCCACTGATTGTTGGCGTAGTTTTGGGAGTGATCTGTTTTCTCTTCATCATCACTTTCATTCTCTTCTTCTATTCAAGAAGGTGAGTTGCCAGTGTCATCAGAGAAGTAAATACTGGATATATTTCAAGATACAAAAGTCTTTCAGTTCCCTTTCATGGGAACTTCGAACTGCGTCCTCTAGGGGTCGCTATGGGGGAACACCTCGTCGTGACCCGTGTCTGAAGCATACATTGAAAAAAACACCAACTCGTTGGCCGGCGACAGCCATGATGTCACTACCGGTGCGACTATAAAATAGGTGCCGGGAGCACACATCATTCTCTTCTTTGTCTTAATTGACTGTTTTGTTTGAAGCGTGCATTTCTGTGGTAAGAATGCTCTATCTCATTATGTCGAGCACTAGCAAAGCATTTAAGGATGTGTGCATCCGTGTTGACGTTGTTTAACATCTGATGACACACACGATCTATGCGTTGTTTGTTTGAGCAAAGAGCACGCACGCGATGTCTCCGAGGGGGCAATCGGCGTGCACTGCGAGCGTTTTTCCAAGGGAAAAGCTCCGCTCTCGTTTGTCTCTTTTTTCGAGGAAAGAGGGGCAGCCATCTGCTTCCCGCGATTCAGGACCCGCCGCTGCTGACGCACGGAAGGGTATGAGCTCGTGGGGATCGCAGATGGATCTGGAGAGGGGTTTCCCTTTCGCGATCGTCAGCTGTGCACGAGAGTGAGCCCCTGGAGGATGATGTTATTTCATTAACATTGTCTGATTCAGGGGCCATTGCTCAAGAATCGCGAGTCAAAGGAAGGTGAGTAAAATACCTAAGGGATGTGATCCAGACAGGGCGTCAGTGCTTTTGTCCGGGCTGGGGTTACGCTTTCATGCTACCCTGACTGGTCTACTGTATCTGGGTCGCCCTGAGGGGTTTTCCCGATCACCAGGATATCCCCCCTTGCTGAGGCATCGAGCGGGAGGCATAGGTGGCATTATGAGAACCTTCCTGTGTAAATGCTGTCTCGGGCAGTTCTCCCCTCACCTTTGAGGGTTGTATTTGAGCTTGCCTATCACGTTTGGCCCAGTACTTCCGGGTATCTGTAAACAGATGCTTGGAAAACTCTAAAATAAGTGAAAGCCGTCTAACGTCCCAGGGGCGACTCCCATAGCAATATGGTAGAGTTGGTACTTAGTGCTCGCCATGGTTCTGGCATGCACTCCCCTCAGCATGGTGGCGTGGGTATACCGTTCCCCATAGCGACCCCTAGAGGACGCAGTTCGAAGTTCCCATGAAAGGGAACGTCTCAGGTTACTTATGTAACCATGGTTCCCTGAGTAGGGAACGAGACACTGCGTCTTCTAGGTTTCTTGCCATGCTGCGGACGCAAGCTTCAGACGAAGAAGTGAATGATGTGTGCTCAAGGCGCCTATTTTATAGTCTATTTCAATGTATTCTTCAGACACGGGTCACGACGAGGCGTTCCCCCATAGCGACCCCTAGAGGATGCAGTGTCTCGTTCCCTACTCAGGGAACCATGGTTACATAAGTAACCTGAGACGATTCATTTTATTGAATGTTCAACATTTCTTTATTACTCTCTTTTCCAGACAAACCAAAAAACAATGCCCAGGCATCCTTGAACACACCATTAGGTAACTTTGTTTGAGATGTTTATAGTTTAATATTTATTTTACAAAACTTAAAATTGTTAATGAATTGCCTTTTTCTTTCTTTTTCCAGTAATAAAATGTAAGTACAATTTTATTATTAATCTATTAAATTTTAACGTTGAAACGTGATTCTTTACACTTTATTGTATGTTTTTGCATGTTTGTTTTTGTTTTATGGTACACCGTAATATTGCTTTGAGAATAGAAGATTATGAAGAGTACTTTAAGCAGAAACATAAGGATTCCAACTGTGGTTTTGCTGAAGAGTATGAGGTACACATGGGTAACACACACACATACACACACTTCCTCTGATAACATTATCAAATTGTTTAATCTGGACTTGTCACAGAAATGCATTTATATATTATAATAGTGTTATCAAAGTCTATATCTACAGAAGTGCTGTGTTGTTGCAGGAGTTGAAAACAGTTGGAACGGCACAGTCCAAAAACACTGCCCTGGCTATTGAAAACAAGCTGAAGAACCGTTACAGCAATGTGCTACCTTGTGAGTAGCCTGACTGTTGCATGTTGTACTAAAGTTTGCATGAGTTTTCCCCAATCACAGGCTTCAATCTGATTAGCTGACTGATAGATTGTACCTGGACTATTCACACTGAAATCACATTGCACAAAGTTAGATATATTTTCAGTTCATTTCCTGAGGCACACAGCCAAAGCACAACCAAAACATTTTATTTGTTTTCAAAACACGTTTTATTTGTTAACTGCTAGAGGGCCAAAAGTTTCATATTGTAGCTTTAAGGAAATTAAGAATAAATTATAAGAATAAGAATACATTATCTGTAGAAACACATGATTATAATGATTATCTAAACTAGACACAGGTGATAACAATCAGAAACCAAGAAAAAAACAGAAATTAATGAAAAGGAAATGTATACAGACAATATGTGACAAAACAATATCAAAATAAGCATTCTTGGAATATAACAGAACATGACAGGTATGATGGTACAATGTAACTTTATATACAAAACAGATGCATAATTTTAGTTCATAATTAATAACTACTTTCTGATACTAATTGCATCATGTTGGCCTTTATCAGATGATGCTTCAAGAGTGAAGTTATCAATGTGTGGCAGTCCCTTTGATGACTACATCAATGCCAACTACGTGCCAGTGAGTATATAAACGGAAGTGAAATTTCCTGAAATTTTTTTTTTAGTCATGTCTAAGTATGTTTTCACAATTTTCTAATTTCTGTTTTTTTTTTTTTTTTTGATCAGGGTTACAATTCAAGAAAAGAGTTTATAGCAGCTCAGGGTCCACTGCCCACCACAGTGAATGAATTCTGGAGAATGGTCTGGGAGAAGAATGTCCACACCATAGTGATGCTGACCAAATGCAACGAGATGGGACGAGTAAGTTTTCATTGGGTGTTTTATGTAGGGTTGGGTGATGTCTACCAAATTGGTATCGGATGATGTCTACAGTGAAACATTGTGATGGACGATGACATCCGGGGGGGGGGGGGGGGGGGAAT